CCTGCGGCTGGGCCGTCCCGGCCCGGCCGTGCCCGCCCCGTACCGGCACCCGCCCGGGAGTGCGTCTGCGGTGCCGCGGGTTGCTGTGAGGACGGGGCGCTGCAGGTGGGCTCTGAGCCCGCCCTGTCGCTCTCCGCCGGGGCGGGTGAGGCTTGAGCGGGCGCGGGGGCGGCGGGAGCAAGCGGGCGGCCGGGCAGGTAGCCCCCGCGGGCAGGTAGCCCTGGCGGGGCGCGGGCTGGGCTCGCCCCGGGCTGAGGCGGCGCCGCGGTGTCCGGCAGGGCCCGGTCGGCGGCTGAGGATCGGCCGTGGCGGAGCGTCCCCTCCCTGAGCCCCCTGCCCTTACCCCGCGCCGAGGGAAGGGCGCAGCCACCGGGTGAAGTCAAAACCCGAAGGAAGGGCCTCGCTTGCCTGGTTTGAGCGACACGGGACTAATTTACCTTTCAGTAATTTTATTTTTCAGTAAAGTTTCTTCTAATGGTTGGGAAATCTGCACTTTTAGAAGACTCTGGTGTCTGACTTTTTGAAAATATTTATTTTATAGCCAGCAGTGGTACGTGGGTGTTGAGGTCTCGGTGGTTTTGAATTTAGCCAAGCGTGTGGATGAGAAGGAGCAAGACCCAGGCTGCCAACAGGGTTATTTCTTACCATGAACATCACACGTAATAGAAATTAGAAAGTTTGCTGAGAAGTTCTCTCTCCAGAGAACCTCTTGCCCCAGTGCCGGAGCCCTGAGCCCTTCCTTCCCTCCCGAAGCTGCAGCGCTCGCTCGCAGGGTCCCACATTGGCTGTCCCTGTGGGGAGGGCACAGCTTCTGCTGGGTAGTGGGCTGGGGATAGTCCTTGTCTATTTTATATTGGCATCAATGTTGGTTCTTTAGTAGTATTAATGTTAATTATCTAGTATTATTCCGTTAAATCTGTTTATATTTCAACCCTCAGGTTTCCTTGCTTTTTTTCCCTGATTCCCCTTCCTGGGTGAGGAGGGTGTCATTGGATGGTAGAATAATTGTTTAAATGACAGTAAATTGTTGTGGGTTCCTCAAACCATAACACTTGATTCTTCCCCGCCTCAGGCTCTAACGCCCAAGCAGCATGGGCTGGGGCTTCATCTGGCTCGTTGCCACTGCCATCCTGGCAAGCCAGTCTGGAAAGCAAGCGCTGCTCCTGAGGCTGTCGGAGTGCAAGGGACCGGGTTGTCAGTATTGCAGGACCAAGGGGAGACTCAAAAGGGTTTACAAATAGAATGAAGGGAAGGCTATTGGATTTTGTTCTTCACAGCCTCCAAAAATAGCTCGCCCTGAGAAACTGTTTTCATGTGGAGGGTTTCCTCTGTGAGATGCCCTAGATTCTGGTGGGACATGAGTCTGCTTCTCCTTTGCCTTTTTCTGGAAGCAAAAAAAGTAATCGCCATCACCAAAGATATTTAGCAACATTTTTGTTTTTTGCTCACAGGAGGCCAGGAGCAGAAACAACATATTGGTGTTTGCCAGGTTTGAATGCCTTGTTTTCATGGGCGAAGAAGAAAGTTTTGCAAGAGGTCAGAAGGTTGAAATCCAGGCAGTAAATAGAACTGGTTAAATTGTTAACTCAGGTCAGGTGCTTATTTTTTTAATTTAGAGGATCCAAACTGAAATCACAAAGTGGATTTACTCTGCTGTCAGAGTATGCAGGGATGAAAGGAGGAAAGCCAAGTTCTCCTTGGAATTAAACCTGGCAAGGGACCTCAAGGTCAACAGGAAAGGTTTCTTCAAGTATATTGGAGACAAAAGGAAAACTAGAGCAATTGTGAGCATGCTGTTGAATGAGACAGGTGCCATGGATTCAGTAGGTATGCCGAGAAGGCAGACCTACTGAATGCCTTCTTTGCTTCAGCCTTTACTGCTCAGGCCAGCCCTCAGGAGTTCCAGACATTGGAGGTAACACAGAAAGTCTGGACAAAGGAAGACTTCCCCTTGGTTGAGGAAAATCAAGTTAGAGAACAACTAAGTAAACTGGATATCCGCAAGTCCATGGGTCCTGATGGGATGCACCCGAGAGTGCTGAGGGAGCTGGCAGAAGTCATTGCTGGGCCACTCTCCATCATCTTCAAAAGGTCCTGGAGAACGGGGGAGGTGCCCGAGGACTGGAGGGGAAAGCCCATGTCACCCCAGTTTTCAAAAAGGGCAAGAAGGAAGACCTGGGAAACAACAGGCCAGTCAGTCTCACCTCCATCCTTGGAAAGATGATGGAGTGGCTTGTTCTGGGCATCATCTCAAAGCATATGGAGGAAAAGAAAGCTATCGGAAGTAGTCAACATGGTTTCACCAAGGCGAAATCATGTAGAAGGCTATCAGGTTAGTCAGACTACAATGGCATGACTGGATGGATAGATGAGGGGAGGACGGTGGATGCTGTCTACCTTGAATTCAGCAAGGCTTTCGACACAATCTCCCACGGCATCCTCATAGCTAAGCTTAGGAAGTGTGGGTTAGACAAATGGACAGTTAAGTGGATTGAAAACTGGCTGAAAGACAGAGCTCAGAGGGTTGTGATTATGGGCACAGAATCCAGTTGGAAGTCTGTAACAAGTGGTGGTCCCCAGGGGTCAGTACTTGGTCCAGTCTTCTTCGATATATTCATATTCAGTAGGTATGCCGAGAAGGCAGACCTACTGAATGCCTTCTTTGCTTCAGCCTTTACTGCTCAGGCCATTGATTCTTCCCTGCCTCAGGCTCTAACGCCCAAGCAGCATGGGCTGGGGCTTCATCTGGCTCGTTGCCACTGCCATCCTGGCAAGCCAGTCTGGAAAGCAAGCGCTGCTCCTGAGGCTGTCGGAGTGCAAGGGACCGGGTTGTCAGTATTGCAGGACCAAGGGGAGACTCAAAAGGGTTTACAAATAGAATGAAGGGAAGGCTATTGGATTTTGTTCTTCACAGCCTCCAAAAATAGCTCGCCCTGAGAAACTGTTTTCATGTGGAGGGTTTCCTCTGTGAGATGCCCTAGATTCTGGTGGGACATGAGTCTGCTTCTCCTTTGCCTTTTTCTGGAAGCAAAAAAAGTAATCGCCATCACCAAAGATATTTAGCAACATTTTTGTTTTTTGCTCACAGGAGGCCAGGAGCAGAAACAACATATTGGTGTTTGCCAGGTTTGAATGCCTTGTTTTCATGGGCGAAGAAGAAAGTTTTGCAAGAGGTCAGAAGGTTGAAATCCAGGCAGTAAATAGAACTGGTTAAATTGTTAACTCAGGTCAGGTGCTTATTTTTTTATCTCTGGCTATATTACTGTACTCAAACAAAAGAGCTGCAGTTAGCAGGACCAAGGGTTACTCAGACGTTTGTTTCTGTAATATCACCAGACAAGGCTCATGCTCAATCATAAGATTGTAGAGAAACTTAGGCTGAAAGGGGCCTTCAGAGGCCACCTGGCACAGCCCCTTGCTCAAAGGAAGGCTGAGCTTGAAGTGGCACCAGGTTGTCCAGGGCTCCCTACAGTTCAGGCTAGCATTAGGAGCTCCTTCGCAGGAGTAGTCAGCTTCCTGAAAGGTAAAAGGTTTGCAGTCAGACTGACCAGATCTGTAAACTAATCTGCAGGGCTCCGTCCCTGTAGAAAGGAGCATGCGCTAAAGACTCTTCTTTCTAAAACAGGCTAATTCCAAGTAACCTGTGTGCACAGCTGAAAGCCTCAGGAGGAGCTCAGCAGGATGAAGCCTGTCATTGTGGTGCATGGTGGAGCTGGCCGGATCTTTAAAGAGCGAGAAGAGGGAAGTCGTGCTGGTGTTGTCAGAGCTGCGCTCCGAGGTTATGGCATCCTGAAACAGGGAGGCAGCGCATTGGATGCAGTTGAGGAGGCAGTGCGATCAATGGAAGATGATCCTCATTTTAATGCAGGTAATTTTTCAAGAATTAAGTGGGTTTAGAATAATGTATTTTGAGTATTTTGCCCTGATGCTTCTGAAAATGCTGGCTTGCATTTTTTTTGAATGATGCACATTGCAGTGTAGTAAATATGGTATCACAAAATATATTATTTCTCTGTGTAAGGCACTTGAATATAGCTTGTAGCAGTGTTTAAGCCTTAATGCTTAACCTTTACTATTGCCAGAGGAATACTGTTCTTCAGGATTTTAGGTGTTTTTCTTGTAATTAATGCTTGCAATTAGTGCTTTTGCAAATAATGATACAGAAATAATGCAGTAGTGTTATATGAGTCATGAATTTATGCAGTAAGGGTTCATAACTGGATTTCCTAACAATTAATGTTAATTAACATTAATGTCAACAGTCAAATATTTTTCTCCTCTTTGTAGGACCTCTGATATATTGTTTTGATGAATTTCATCAAAAATATTTCCCCACCCCCACCAAGGTATGTCAGGAATGAACATGGAGAGACAGACCTGCCAGTGTTCAGTGTTTTAGATAAAATAGCTATTAGTTACGTGCACACCTAGTTTGCAGAGATTCTCTTGTTCCTTCTCACCTTGTAATTGAGAGCAAGGGAGAGGTTTTACTTCATATGAAACTTTCAGTGTTTTGTTACTGATTTAGAGGATCCAAACTGAAATCACAAAGTGGATTTACTCTGCTGTCAGAGTATGCAGGGATGAAAGGAGGAAAGCCAAGTTCTCCTTGGAATTAAACCTGGCAAGGGACCTCAAGGTCAACAGGAAAGGTTTCTTCAAGTATATTGGAGACAAAAGGAAAACTAGAGCAATTGTGAGCATGCTGTTGAATGAGACAGGTGCCATGGATTCAGTAGGTATGCCGAGAAGGCAGACCTACTGAATGCCTTCTTTGCTTCAGCCTTTACTGCTCAGGCCAGCCCTCAGGAGTTCCAGACATTGGAGGTAACACAGAAAGTCTGGACAAAGGAAGACTTCCCCTTGGTTGAGGAAAATCAAGTTAGAGAACAACTAAGTAAACTGGATATCCGCAAGTCCATGGGTCCTGATGGGATGCACCCGAGAGTGCTGAGGGAGCTGGCAGAAGTCATTGCTGGGCCACTCTCCATCATCTTCAAAAGGTCCTGGAGAACGGGGGAGGTGCCCGAGGACTGGAGGGGAAAGCCCATGTCACCCCAGTTTTCAAAAAGGGCAAGAAGGAAGACCTGGGAAACAACAGGCCAGTCAGTCTCACCTCCATCCTTGGAAAGATGATGGAGTGGCTTGTTCTGGGCATCATCTCAAAGCATATGGAGGAAAAGAAAGCTATCGGAAGTAGTCAACATGGTTTCACCAAGGCGAAATCATGTAGAAGGCTATCAGGTTAGTCAGACTACAATGGCATGACTGGATGGATAGATGAGGGGAGGACGGTGGATGCTGTCTACCTTGAATTCAGCAAGGCTTTCGACACAATCTCCCACGGCATCCTCATAGCTAAGCTTAGGAAGTGTGGGTTAGACAAATGGACAGTTAAGTGGATTGAAAACTGGCTGAAAGACAGAGCTCAGAGGGTTGTGATTATGGGCACAGAATCCAGTTGGAAGTCTGTAACAAGTGGTGGTCCCCAGGGGTCAGTACTTGGTCCAGTCTTCTTCGATATATTCATCAATGACCTGGATGAAGGGATGGAATGTGCCCTCAGCAAGTTTGCTGATGACACAAAACTGGGAGGGGTGGCTGACACACCAAAAGGCTGTGCTGCCATCCAGCGAGACCCGGACAGGCTGGAGAGTTGGGCCGAGAGGAACCTGATGAAATTCAACATGGGCAAGTGTAGGGTGCTGCGCCTGAGGAGAAATAACCCTCTGTACCAGGACAGGTCGGGGGCTGACCAGCTCCCAGTTCAAGAAAGACAGGGAACTGCTGGAGAGGGTACAACAAAGGGCTAGGAAGATGATGAGGGGACTAGAACGTCTCTCTGATGAGGAATTGTTGAGGGACTTGGGTCTTCTTAATCTGGGGAAGAGAAGACTGAGGGTGGGATTTGATCAACACCTATAATTACGTAAAGGATGGGTGTCAGGAGGATGGGGCCAGTCTTTTTTCAGTGGTGCCCAGGGACAGGACAAGAGGTAACAGGCACAAACTGGAACATAGAACGTTCCATCTAAACATGAGGAGGAACTTCTTTCCTGTGAGGGTGGCAGAGCCCTGGCAGAGGCTGCCCAGAGAGGTGGTGGAGTCTCCTTCTCTGGAGACATTCCAAACCCCCCTGGACACGTTCCAGTGGGTCCTGCTCTGGGTGGACCTGCTCTGGTGGGGGTTTGACTGGATGATCTCCAGAGGTCCCTGCCAATCCCATATTGTTCTGTGATTCTGTGTGTACTATTATATAATTAACATCAGGGTGGCATTCTTGTTTAACTTTTACTTCACCTTTTCTAACTCAGTCACTAACCTTTAGGACTCTGTTTTGCTGAGGTCAGTAAATTTGGCCTTTGGCGCTCTGTGCTTCTGGGTTATGTCTCAAAATATCTCTCTGTTGAGAGAATTTAGATTTGCCATTTTAAAAATGCCAGCTACTTCAGGGCAGAAAAAAATCCTAATTCTTGAGAAGCATCTCTTAAGTGATGTTCTGCCTGAAATCAAGCGTCCAATATTAATGCAGAAGCAACTTCAATATTAATTTAAGCTTAAAGATTGTTTACATCTTTTTCTTGATCATTCCATGTAAACAATTGCATGCTTTCTTGGTTTCTTATACATGAGTTTTGATGGTTATGTAAATCAAGGCAATTTAAATGGCAAATAGATTTTTAGCTTAGTGTAACTCCAAGTGTTAAAAGCTTCCTTTATAATCATCTGTTTAGGCTCATTTATTGAACTTGCCCACAAGTGTCTGAAGCATTTGGGCACTTATGCTAAGTAGGATCACAACAACTAGCAATATTCTGTGTTTTTCATACAGGTTTTTTTTTAACCTTTATGTGAGATCTGGTCACTAACACTGCTTTTTCTGAGCCATGCTGTCTCGTAGCATGCCATCATTGAATTGACACCTCTGAGCAGTGTATACTCCTCTAAAAATGATTGTATCATTTGGGGAGAGGACCTTAGACTCTGCCATATCCAATGACTGATAAACAGTTACAGCTTAACATTTTGCTTGATGTACAAAATGCAATACGGGGTTGTGACACCCTTTTTCATGGTCCAAGGTCATATTTATCCTTAATTAAATAAATGTTGAATTATTTTTTTGTTTAAAGGTGTTTACTTCAATTTGTTATAACAATATTTGTACACCTTGTTTGTAGTATACTAAATGAGCAATTTTTAGCAAAATTTGCTTAAACTGGACTTGAACCTTATGCCCTTGTTCAAGTTTGACTGTGCTGATCTAAATGGCAAATAGTCTGGTAATCACCTACAGATACTTTTAATTGTGTTAACGCTCATTAGATACAGCTGCTCTCAGTAGCTGGTGAAAATGAGCTGAAAGCTTTGTGGAGAGGGCCTTGATTGGAGTGGCTGTTTAAAACTCACCATGTGGTATATATCTTTGTAAAAGAAAAATCAGTTTTACTGTAATATTCTGGGAAAATACAGACATGACTAGGGGACAGCAATAAAGATTGGGAAGAATGGGCATAATGATTTGATCACAGAATCACGGAATGATATGGGGTTGGAAGGGACCTCTGGAGATCCTCTAGTCCAACTCCCTGCCAAGCTAGGTGGACCTGCTTTGGCAGGGGGGGTTGGACTAGAGGATCTCCAGAGGTCCCTTCCAACCCCATATCGTTCTGTGATTTTGTGATCAAATTGTGTCCTTTTTTGAATGTTAAGGTTTAGCCATGTGGTGTAGATGTATCTTGATGTAGGCTTGGTGAAGGGGCTCACAGCATAATGAAGTCATCAGGTTCTGCTTGTGATGAGGAAGAGGGTCTTGTTTGTATTTCCTTCATGTGATTTCTTTGACTAGCAGTATTAACTAGCTCAGTGTGAATGCTCCAGACACAAGAACTGTCATTACAGTATACTTTGCACGCTCTTTCCTCCTCAGCCTTTGCAGGACAGAGGACAGATCTATCTACTGTAGATAGCGGGAATCGGAGTACTTCTCTCAGTATGCCCCCTGTGATTTGACTAATGTCAGACACCTTTGTTATCTGTGTCCCCTTAGATTTTTCTGTCCTCTGTTGTCTCTTTGGTTTTTTCCCTGTCCTTTGCTTCACAAGTGAGCCAGACTCTTTTATTTTCAGCGCTGCTGCCAATGAATACCATGGTCTCAGAGGCAGGTAGTCCCTACCTAGCGTGCTGAAAAGCAGGTGAGAAGGCAGCCTGTAATCATAGAAGGAATGATTCATCCTCCCTCTGACAAGCTGGAGTTTAGTACGTAGCCTTGCCGTGGCGCACAGGCTGTCACAGGGGTCAGTGGAATGAGAAAGGGTAGCTGTACAGCTCTCTAAGGCAAGTGGGATGAATTCTTCTTAGAGGGCATGTGTCTCCACTGTTTTAGCTCTGTAAAGTGCTCACGTCTTTCTACCTGAGCTACTGTGTAAGTCTGACATGTTTTGTTTTGGATTTTTTACTTCTTTTAAAATTTGGTCTTCTCCATCCTTATTAGCAAGGCTTGTACACTTGATGACTTACAACTGATTATTCCCCTGTGATACAGTTATTGGCATTATTAAAAAAAACCACAAACCCAACCTATTTGCATTGTCTCATTTTGTATCTCATTAATTTTCAATTAGGTTAGTGATAGCACTGATAATTATAGAAGAAAATAACTACCCAACCTTTTATTACCCAATTTTTTATTTTTTTTTTAATTCCTTTGACTACTGTTTTTATTTGGTAATGAAGAACTTGTTATTTCCAGGTTTTGTTACACTAGTGAGTGGACACTTTTATTCTGCTCCATCAATTTTGGCAGTTTCTTGGAATGCTGTGTGACGTTAGTTTGTTGATAGGCTTGAACACTATGCTATTTTGTTGGGTTATGTTGTATCCTCTTTTGGAAGAACTGGAAAGGAAAAATGGGTTTATGTACACTTGAAGTACTCTGGGGGATAAAGAATTCTGTTGATGATTGTTGGTCATTTTATCTTTCATATCTAGTATATCATTTTGGATGGGATTAGTATGGTATTGGTATCTGTTTAAAGTAAAACTCAAATTTAAAGTAGACATTGTACCCTGTGAGACTTCTAGTAATGGTTGGATTTTGTGGTTATACTCAGCAGTGTTTCTGCTGTTTCGTTTGTATTCAGGAGATACTTTCAATAATTGAGACAACAAACTGGGAAAGATAAAGTTTGCTTGATGAGATCTAATAATTGAATCACCTGATGATTAGCTCTTAATGTCTGTATTCTTTTTCCCTTCCTCCTTGATTTTTTTTTGGTTTTGTTTGATTTTGTGGGGTTTTTTTGGTCTTTAGGCTGTGGATCTGTTCTAAATGAAAAAGGTGAAGTTGAAATGGATGCCATTATCATGGATGGAAAAAATTTAGACTCTGGAGCAGTGGCTGCAGTTAAATGTATAGCAAACCCAATAAAACTTGCTCGACTTGTCATGGAAAAGGTATGCTGAATGTGTGTGTGAGCGTGAAACATTTTTTCCCTTAGAACTTCATCCGGTGTATTGATAGACCGCAATGGTGACATTTGTGTAGTGCTTTAAAGCAGGAAAGAAGGGAGAAATGGATGGCAGTGTCTGGAAATCATGGTCATGACCATGAAGAACACTTATTTTAAGGGGTTTTGAGAGGTATTTATTTAAAATAACATTCCAAGGAAACATAAGTTCCACCATGCAATTAGAAGCAAGGAGAAATTGACCTATACACATCAATCTCCTGTAGCTCCACAGATGGTGTTCAGCATTTTAGGGTTTTGGGTTCTTTTGTTCACTTGTATTTTGAAAAGCTTTTATGCTGAGTCTTCTGCTTGATCTTGCAAGACTAAAGTTGGATAATATACTGTTAACTTTGCAGTGACATGGAACTGAATGAAATGACCCAATAACATATTTTCCGTGTAAGCAGTGTTATGTTGTTCTAGGTAGCCTTCTCCATTGTGAGCTAATCAGATGGTAGCCTTAGTGCAAAGTCAGGGTTTTCCAGCAGTAGAAGGTAACATTAGCACTGTGTGACTGTGACAGATTTTTCAATAGAATCAAACTTATCAGGGCAGAAAACTGATTATTATTTGACCTTCTACCTAAAATCGATCCCACCTTATTCCACTATGAAGTCCCTGTAATATCTGTCACAGCAGAGCTCTCTCATTTTTCAGAAATGGTGCAAGTGGTATGGTTCAGGATGGAAGCAGATCATTTGTGTAGTATGTGCGTCTGTTGTACCCTTACTGGACTGTGGCAGTGACCCAAAAGTTTGTACTGTCTTTGGAGTTTACATTTTTCATCCTGCCAGTGCAGCTCCTCTATTGTTGAAAAGGCTTCATATTTGCAAAACCACTTATTAACAAGGAGGGTTTATGTTTCTTTAACCTTTCAAAGTGACTGTTGAGGAAACAAAACCTCTTCTGGTGATCTATAAAGATGATTGAAATGCAATTTGTCCTCAATAGACTCCAAATAAGATAGGAATTCTTTTTACCCTTAATTGGAGGATAGTTCTTTTTTGAAAATCAGAACTTTCCATTAAAGTATTTAATATAAATACTTCAGTGAATTGTATGTCTACTAGAAAACAGTGTTAATATTTGGTAATTAATAAGCTTTTTGTTCCTTCCTATGGGTTTTATTCTGTCATTTAGCTAGAACAAATAAATAAGTATAGCTGGTAGACAGCTTCACAAGACCAAATTTTTCAAAATTTGACAATGCCTTGAGGTGAGTGTCTAGTGCTTCTCCATCGGGTGCAGTAAGTGGGTTTGCCAACTGATGTTACTCTTCTGTTCATCTTGGGCAGGAATTTTGGGACAATAACCCTGGATATTTCACAGTACATTTCAGAGTGTGTTTTGCTTTGTTTTACTATGCATAATTAAAAATAATTTTAACTCTGTGACCCATGGGTAATAAGACTGTAGTTTTCCTGGCGTCCTAGGTATGTCAGGGTGCTTATTTCCCAGTGGTTTTGAGATGGCTCTCTGCCTTAAGGAATTTTGAAACATGCAGCTCCCAAAACCAACCAACCAAACTGAAAGAACCCTCCCCACCTGCTTGTAATTTTATTTCCATCACTATTATGGAACAATATGGGCTCCATCTGGTGGCCAGAGTAGCTTTTCTAGATTGTTGTTGCACGCATTTATCCTGCGCGCTGTCGCATTCTCACTGGGCTCAAACTTATCCAATTCATGGGGTAGAAGAAAATAATTTCTGTTCAGGATTTACTGTGCTATTTAACATGGCAGCCTCTAGAGATGAAAGGCTTTTAGTGCTTTAATTAATTGAACAAATCCTTGAGAAAGCAGTTAAATTCCTGTTGAATTATTCCTGTTGGTAGTGAACAAAAATAGAATGATATGTTGAAATGGTTTTTCTTTTTTTAAATGGGGCATGTAATCCCCTTCAGCTCCAGCACTTCATTTGATGGGCATCTCGTGATCATTAGAGCACTGACTCATTGGTATACGTGAACTGTGTGTATATTTTCCAGTCCTTTACGTTAGACAAAGGAGAACATAGCTTAGAACAGAGACTTCTCAAGGCGAGGGTGCGCATTTTTGCTGCGCTTTGTGCACTGCCAGGATTGTTAAATAAAGAACAGTGATGGTCTGAATTTCAGGCCAACTCCAGAAATTTGGGGGATTTTCTCATCCCCATTTCCCACAAAATTAACTAAACTTGCCAAGACTTTTGTTTGTTAGTAAGATCTCTAGAACCCTTTTTTTTTTTTTTTTTTTTTTTTTTTTTTTTTTTTTTTTTAAAAAAAAAAAAAAAAAAAAAAAAAAAATTTTTTTTTTTTTTTTTTTTGTCCTTTTGGTTTACTTTGTGTAAGTGCATCCCAGCAAAAGTAGGCACTTAAGAGTTAGCAAACATATTCATGAAACTGTAGAAGGATAAGACAGAAAAGTGTGGGTCTGGGTTGTTTGGTTGTTCTACCAACTCTTTTGATCAACAAGATATATCGAAGAGAAAAACAAATAAAATTCTCCTTAAGATAACTTCTGTTCAGCGAGGACTGCAAAACCCAAGCCAAACCATCCTACCATAGAACGTTATGCCTCTGTATACAAGTGTTTCTTGTTTGTGCAGGTTAGGAAGGTGGATATCACAATCTGCGTATAAGAAGGAACCCTTTGACAAAGTTTTAAGAAATAACTTTAGGTTTTTTACAGTAAAATGTTTTTTTAAAACTTATTTAAAGGATGATACAAAGTCTTAATTGCTGAAAAAAGCAATTCATGGAGAACACAGCCTTCTGATACAGATAAAGTCAAAAGAAAAGTTCCATGTATTTCCTAAAAAAAAAAACCCAACAAAAAAAAACCCAGCCACCAAACCCAATTTGAATGATTGGCTCATGCGCTTCTTCTGGTGGTGAAGTGGCAGAGGGGGGCAGTATTGCACAAAGAAGTTGGCTTTCTAGCTGGAGAACAGCAGCTTATTTAGAAATATGTAGGTCTTTTATTGTCCAGTAACATCCCTCAACATGTAAGCCTGGTGTTCGCTCTTTCACATATACAGAGGACTTCTTCCTTGTAACCCTTATTCTTGTTCCCTAAAGCAATGATAAAGCAACTCTCATGAATTGAGGACTTAATTTGTCAATAAAAAGGCATTTAAATTTTCAAAAATGCTTGATGTCAGGGCCACCACATCAGGAATGTTTCTAAAGTGTAGTCACACTTCCCACTTCTGTGACCACCCGAAGGGGTTAGTGCAAGGACTGCAACAGGTTCAAGTAAAATCAGTGTCTGTGGTTTGGAAGAGGTTTGGCTGAAATCCTTTAAAATAATGCAGTGCTGTGGGTTGGCCGTGGTAGTGATTGCTTGTCATTGCTTTAGAAATCAACAGAAGTTGATGGTCTGCGACGTATTAGAAGTCTGAAGTGCTGAGACTGTAAATGTCCCGCAGAATGCAGCAGGACACAGAATACCCAACCTCTGGTGTCCTCACTCCAGGCTGAGAGCTGAGTATGTGCTGCTTCCATGCCCTGCAAGGCTCTGCAAGCCTCCATCACCATGTGGTTCTGCTTCTTGGACCTCAGCTGGTACCTGTGTGCTGTGCTGCTGCATGGACACGAAAGCTTGCTTGAAGTTAGGTGCTGTGCTCTGAAATGACTCTGTACTGTAGAGTCAGACCAGTGACTCTCCAAAACCTTCCCTGCCTCTGATGAGCAATTAACAGCTGTGTAGTGGTCCAAGAAATTGATGCTTGGACACACATTAAAAAAAAATAAATAAAAAATTACATATTGGAGCACCTTACTAAAGTATAAGGATTAATGCAACAAATTTATCTGGCAAGTTTCTCTGAAATAGGAATTCTCCAAGCTGTACAGACTTTAAAGCATGGATTTAACTAAGGATGTTGACTTAAAGGCTGGCCTAAGTGCTTTGCTATATAAAGGAATCAAAATAGAGCTTCTACAAATGTTTTTAGAAGAGAGCAAACGTTTTTTGGTTAAAATCGATCTTACTCTGTTCTTAAATTTGAAATTCTGGGTCTATAGGAGTAGCAGCTAGTTGAAGGAAATATTTAAAATGAAATGGTTCAGCTGATGTTAAGAAACACTTTAGTGTATGATGTTTATATTTTTTGGTTATTTTACGAGATGCAATACCTTCAGACACAACAGTTATTTATTTACTGTTCTTTCCTTCTGGGTAAAATCCTTCTAGATCTCTTAGTTAACTGGACAAAACAGTTACTTCAGTGGTGATTTGGTGATTGACTGGAAACAGTACAAAAAAGTTGCACGCAAAAGATCAAATTTATCAGGTTTTCTTCTGCCATTATAAGAAGTATTAAATAAATAAATGCAGTTCTTTTCTACTAATGATGAAATTTTTTATCTGTGTTTTGGAGAGCTGAAAATGTTTTCAGCTAGTTGAAGAGGATATAGGCATAGAAATCTAGAAAGTTTAAAAATAAAATTTGTTATTTTCTTTGTTTGGATACTTCTAAAAATAAAGAGTGATTATAGGAAACTATTCCGTAGAAGGCAAAATAAGAATTGTCAATGAATCTCTTGTCTGTCTGCTGCAGACGAAGCACATGCTGCTGACTGACCATGGTGCACGCCTGTTTGCTCAGGCCATGGGTGTTCCTGAGACTCCAGGGGAGAAACTCATAACCCAGAGATCCCGAGAGAGATGGAAGAAGAACCTCGAGCCAGATTCCAATCCTGAAGAGTTTCAGAAGTAGGGGTTTTGTAAAATATTTTCTCTTTTTAACTTTGGATAATTTAATTTGTGCTATCGGTTAAAAAAAAAACCAGCTGAAACCCACCAAAGGTTTAAGGCCTGTATTCAGACTTGAGAATACTTCAATTTTGAGTGTTACGTGGTTTGATACAGTCTTCACAGTGTGTCCTCAGTGAAAGTAATGGAAAACCCAAGCTTTCAATGCATTTGCTCAAGTATAAGTGACGTGAACAAACTTGTTGCTGCTTAAGATTGTCAGTCACATTGCTTCTGTGGCATTAACAGTAGGACAAAGTTAGAACTTGTTGCGCTTAAAATCACCAGTTATAAAAGTGCATACAGCAGCTTTAACAAACAGCAGGCACCACTTTTTCTAGCTCTTTTCCATGGAGGAACTGTGATTTTAAAAAATCTACAGTCCACATTCTAAAACAAGTCCATGAAAAAAAAATTAATAAAGCTGATCCTTGTTAAGTAGATTTGTCTTTAAACTGGATTAGGTAGTTAAACAACATCAGATTTTGACCAGTAACTCCTCTTGAGTGCTCATTGTGGTTGTTGGTGTAGATAAGACTGAGAAAAATGACCAAGAAGTTCAGTGTAGTGGTGGATGTGAAAAGAGATGCTACTGGATGGTATTGCACAACAGTAAAACAAAAGTCACTTGGAAAAATAGAGAGGAAGGTGAGGGGAAGGAAAGGAAAATCATTGGGTATCAAAAAGGTTTTTTATGCTTGTGAGGTAGGCATAAATACTAAATTGTTTTGAGCTTCCATTTGTACATCAATGGTTGTGGAACAGGAAACACTGTATTATATTACATAAATACTGTATTACATGTTGTTCATCTGTTCTGTGAAATAGTGGTAATGAGAGAAGCAGAGCTGAAGAATTTGTAGATCAAAAGGAGGAAATTTCTTCTGTGGGCACATTAATTAAAGCCCATGAAATGAGGCTATAAACTACAAGGTAGATGTTTTTTTTCAGTAAATTGCTACAAGGCAAAAGAAATTCATGAGGCAACTGTAAATACAGTCTTGTAAACAAAGTGAAGTTGTTCCCTGACCATAAGGCCTTAGTCGTAGTTCATCCTGTATCCAACAAGTTTTCTTTTGATCCATGGTCTATCCAAGGACTGTGTGGTATTATAATTCATTATGAAGAATTTTGAGGATGGCATAGCCCCTACTGCCACTTGGTCTGCTGAATATAGAAGTTGGAATGTCATGGCATCTAAGTCTCCATTCATTCTTTAAAACTGCTTAATTATTTTTTTTTCTTATAACAGTGTTAAGCATCTTCAATTTTGGCATTGTCTTGTTCTGGAATATCTGATAATGGAAGGCTTGTGTATTTCTGAAAGGTTCAAGACTTTTTCTTGTCTTAGCCACGCTGTTCTTTTTCTGACAACCAGTGCCCAAAACATCAGCACAAATTCACAAAGTTGAAAATGGGTCTTTTTTTTTTTTTTTTTTTTTTTTAATGCAAGCCCAGTTGTTCCTGTATTGCATGTGGAATATTCTTTTCCCCTGTCATGTCCACGGTGATTAAGCAGAAGCTTGTCTGAGGTGAACAGACCTCAGGTGAAGTAGTATTAGTCAGAGGCAACATAATACCAGATCACACCAGGAGTTTGAAGGTTGGTGTGTACTTTGGTACTCTGGTCTTAACAGTGTTGGAAGCCTTGGGGGTTTGTGGCTTTCAAGCAAAGTTTGGTGTCTCCAGAAGAGAGACCTTTGTCTTTTGCTTGTTAGAAGCCTGTATTCAATTATGCTAAAAGCTCATGATTCCATTGCATGTAGAACATCTTGCAAACTTTTTGCTAAGGAGGTGTGGTTTGTTTTATCTTCAGTTTCTCACTCCAAAGATCCAGAACATACCTTTGTCCAGAATTGCTGGAGATGCCTGAGAATCCCACAGGAAGGGAGTTGAGTCCAACCGTAAGGTAGTAGATGGGCTACTAGCCCCTGTGTGATTCCCGGTGCAAGAGTAATTTGAGGAGCTATTAAATAACAAGGATCCTGACAGGGATCAACAGAAAACCATAGTACTGATGCAGGGCTAAGAGACAAAATAGCAGAGGTCTCATGAGTTGAATGGGGGTCGAATAAGTACATGTAACTTCATGGGTACTGGGTAATGAAAGATGGAGCCAAACGGGAGTGAGCAATGCGAGTGAGCTGTGCTGTATCACAGTGTGTGCAGTACAGAAGAATGATTCTTGATTGAAGAAAATCAGTACTACTAGTAGCATCCTCTGGTTTACCTCAGGTACTTGTTGAGATTCTTGCTACTGTCACTGACTAACGACAGACAGATGGTTATAATATGCTGTCTCTACTTACACAGTTTTGCCTGCCTTGGTAATGTTTCTGAGTCAACCAGCTATGCAACAGATTGTTTATGTCCTCTTTGCCTTTCTTCTGAAGACAAAGAAAGAAAACATGATACTGAAGCAATAAAAAAGTTTAAAGGGACAGTACAAAATCAAGTGAAGTTGTCTACTTGCTCCACTGCAGATAATGTACGTCGGACACATTTACGTTGTTATTTATCACCAGTTGAGCTCTTGTACCAAACCAGATAGCGGCTGTGGATGTGATCCGTATACTTCCATTATTCTCACCATTGCTTAAGGGAAATACATACCTAGGAAAATATCTACATGCACCTTTCTTAATTTCTCAGGAGGATCTAACTTTACTTGGTTGAAGGGTGCCACATGAGTGTGCAAGAGAGTACTGGATTTACTAATATTCTTTTCAGCAAATCATTAGTAACAGATGGATGGGTGGGAAGCCCATCTGCACCATCATATCAGTTTGAGATGAGGTCCGTCTCCACATAAATGTCAGAGCAGTTTGTAAGGCCTGTGATTCATCAGTCAATTTTGAATTGCTGTGAATGAAGTGTAGGGACTGACAGTGATATTTTACATAAGCAGGAGGGAGCAGGAAGTTGGTTCTCTGAGAAATTGACTGTGGGTTTCACAGCATGCAAAGACTTTATCTGACTTAATTAACTCAGATTTTGTGGGGCTATAGAGACATCCTCACTGGTGCCCAGGCAACTTCCAAAGGTATTCCTGTTCCAGTTGCCTGTTGGGCAGGTCCTTGAAGGACTGTTCCAAATTCTTTTCCTGTGTGGAGTGATTTAGATTTTTTTGGTACGTGTCTGCTAGCCATATACTGGTTTATGTTCCTACTTGAATTGTCAAAGTTGGAATATGCGGGCACTCAAACTGTTGCTTCTCAGTGTAGGAACTGTTAAAGTAAGTTACAATAGCCTTTTTTTTTTGGCCGAGTATGAACACACATCTATATTTTAAGCAGTCTTTTATATATGACTTTTCTGTGCTGAAGAAATGAAGCAGTAGTCAAAACTTCTATTTTCTGTGCATGAAGATTTTTAAGCTGTTGATGTGCAGTTTCAACAGGTTGTACTGGGCAAGTGATTTAAACCTCAAGATTGCATACCTACAGAGTACAAAGAGGAAAATACGTATTAGTGATGCGTTGTGAACAATATTAGTTGAAAGGCAAATAAGTAACTTGGGAGGGGGAGGCTTTCCAACATTTAGGGGAATAAGGAAGAGGAAAGAGGAGGAACAGGAAGGAAATTATTCAGTGTTTTCATAACATTACTCTCCTTTTCTGTATTCACTCATTTACGTGCCTTGTCATTAATAATTCCGGTTAACCTCCTGTTGAGACAGGAGAGACAATTCTGGCATTTTTGAGTTGCTTTTTAGGGAAAAGTTATGCATCAGGTGTGTCACAGCCAAAAAAAGCCATGCCAGAACTGATAGCTAGAAATATATGTGCCCTGTCTGCTTTGTTTTGTGGGTTTTTTCCTCCTGAAGTCGAAGTTTCCACACTATGAAGGTAAACAAGTCATGGGGGAGATAAAAAAAAAAGTGTTTCCTACTCTATTAAATATAAAGCTTTGAGAATTGTTACATATTGTAATGAGAAGCATGATAAAAATAGCTTTATGATGATCAGTAATTTTTTTGCAGTAATCTTTTTTAAAGCTACCTGGTAAATAAATGCAACATGCTTTGGCAGGTATGCTCTAATTCTGCCTAATTTTGTGAACTGTTTTTCTTGGCAGGGACCTTGGAACAGTCGGTGCTGTTGCTATAGACTGTGAAGGAAATGTAGCTTGTGCAACATCCACTGGAGGACTCTCTAATAAACTGATTGGCCGTGTTGGTGACACAGCATGCATAGGTATGGGCTGTGGGGTCTTGTCTCTCATTTTTTGGAGGTACCTCATTTAAATAAATAAAGAAAGAAAAAGTATTACACGTTCTCCTTTAATGAAATGAAACATGAGTGCTGGTATGTCTGAAATGGAGGTCTAACATTCAAATGTATCAAAGCTCAAGCTCCTTAACACAGCATGGAGATTGCAATTAAGGACTGGGAGTAGAGGTGTAGTACTGTCATTACTATCATCAAATTCCCATGGGGATGGGAATTTATTTTTTCTGCCCTTTCCTGAATGCTGACATTTTCTTCTCTATTCGTTTCTATTTGTTCTGATAAAGCTCTCGTTTTGTACATCCATGCTTACAGCTAAGTCAAAAACCGTAGCCTGTCCCATACCAAGATGTTGTTTTCTTAATACTTAAGAAAGTAGGTGTAATTGTAATTACTGTTTGTTATATCAGTGAGCCAGAGTTGTAAAAGGACTGGCAACTTAGAGTAAATGCCTGTTCTTAGAGAGCCGTGCTAAGACTGCCTCAGAGCCAAAGAGATGTGATATGGAATAAAGGAAACGTTTTAAGAGATCTCTTCTGCAAGTATAAAGAGACACTTGAAATCCTTTCCCCAGACTTCTTCCTCTCATGGGACAGACTTGCCATTTGATTGCTTCAGATTCTACCATACAGTTAGCATTCAGAAAATAATTATTTTTAGTAAAATGTGTTCCAAATTCAAATAGTGCTGCTGTTGGCATTACATGATTATAAAGGTTATACTAACTTTCTCTCGTACCCTAAGTTGCTAATGTTTTGGTACCCTCTGCATTTTGACTAGGATTTTCAGCTTCATTTCTGACTGCCTTCAGACTGCAAATACTCTTCTTTTACATAGATGTATTCAGGGCTCCTATGTATGGGATAGGTGTGTGAAGGACAAATGAAACTGGGCGCTGCTGAGCGTATTGCTTGCAACTTTTATTAGACATCAGCAGGATTGGGTACAGAAGTGCTAGCTGTCCTTTTAAATATTAGACCCTTTTGACAGGGTCTTTGACAGACCGATTGTGGCAGTTTTACCACATGTAAATCAGGTCCACTTAAGGGGTCTGATCTGATCAAGAAAGCACAAAAGGGAAGAAACTTTCATGGCTCTTCTATGCCTCTTTCCCCTCCTGCAGTACCTTGTTTATAATGCTGTGGTATGTTCATCCCCAGCTCCTGGGAAATATTTTTCTTAGGAGATGTGCTAGAAACATGGGTGTTGAGCAAGCAGAAGCTTGGTGGAGAGCAGGGTGTGGAATGTGGAATGGGAGTGCAAATAAAAAGGAGAGGGAGGTGGGAGTTCAACAAAACAAATACTGTGCTTGTGGTGGGGACTGGCAAAATTTTTGTGCTTTGTGATGCTGCACTAGAGCTCAGGCTCTTCAAATCTCTTACCTGCTTTTGCAGATGAGTTCCCCTCAAATTTAGGTGAAATGGCAAATGTCCTCACAAGATCTTCCTTTGTATCTTTTCAGTTGGTATGTGTGACCTGGCATTCTGCTGATCCTCAATATACCATCCCTTGCTATTCTGGAAAATATTTTTGCCCATCCCTGTGAAGTGTTGGCCTGCTCAGCTTCTTGTGCCACAAGCAGGTCACTAGTCTTCTAGCCCTCTAAACTTGGTCAACTGACTTCATCCAGCTGATGATCTCCTTCATATATTTTACATTTCATACTTAAGCAGAAATGAGAAAGAAGTTTGTTACTGACACTTCAATCCCAGAAGTTCACAGAATTGCTGGACCTTTAAGAAGAAAAGTTTGGTACTTATTTTAAACAATGCAGAACTTGTAATACAGAATGTTGCCTTTTTTGTTTGTTTGTTTCCCCCTCTGAAAAGGAAGTGGAGGTTATGCTGATAACCGTTCTGGTGCAGCTTCAACCACAGGACATGGGGAGAGCATTATGAAAGTGGTCTTAGCCCGACTGATCCTCCATCACGTCGAGCAAGGTATATTCCAAACTTCCTGTAAGCTGAAATGATGAGGATAGGAAATGTCGCCTGATGGCAGGTTTCAGTTTATGTACTGTCATCCTAGAACAGTTCTCAGAAGAGCTGTTTCCAGGGGTGGGTGGGACGGGTCGTCTCTCTTTAAAAACAAAATGAAGTACTAAAGAAAGAAGTACCTATGCCACTTGATGTTTAATTGTGCTTTAGATCAATGTACATTTAAGGACATTATTGTCTACTTTGTTTAACTGAAGTTCTCTTTAATAATTTTTCCCAATTAAAATTTTGTGAACAGAGAAGTAGAAAACAACTAAAAGTAAGATATATTTAAGGAAGCAGTAGGGGAGGGCTAGAGATAGATAATCAGAGCATAGGCTATCACCTTTCTAATAAACTGGAAAGGGCTTTATTTTAACAACTGTGACTATAGCAACAGAAATGCTTTTAAGACATTTTAACTATGATTTAAATTTTCATTTTGTTTTGGAAAATACCCACCCAGTCAGTTTAGTGTATGTAGTAAACAGCTGACACAGTATGTCTTATGTGACTGTAATATAATCTGACTGTGGGTGACTCTTTGGAGCTTTACCTTCATGAGTTAGTCTGTCATCTAAACCCTTGATTATATTACAGCCCATAAACATAGCCAGACAACATACTTGTATTGCGTGCAGCTGAAGAACCATTAATATAGATATCACTGTTATTTTTAGAAAGCTGTAGCTTTTGGGCAGTACAGTGTAACTTGCTTTGAGATCAACTGAACTGGAAATAGTTGGAAAACTTTCAATTTACATTTTCATTGGAGAAGCAGTAAATAGAGAGACAAGGAACAGTTGAGAATATTTTTGCTTTATAGAGCTGTTTGCATATAATGGTTGCGTTTCTCTGTAAATCTCTTGGCTAATGTGATACTTTCGGCATAAAATACAACCTACAAATTATTTTCCAAAGCTCTAACACATTTTGATCTCCCCTTACTCTGTATATTATGTCCCTAGGTATTCAATTTGTGAATGGCCTTTTAAGCTGTATTTAGTCTAAACCATGTAAACCAATTTCTTCCCTGGCTTGAAGTGCATTGCAAAATCTATGTGCTGATAGCAGTTATCTGGTTTGTGGTAACTCAGTATGAAAGGCAAATGAGGTCCAAATTAAAAAGGTTTTTTTTAAAAAAAAAAAAAAAAGAGGAAAAAAGAAAATGAACCCACATGTGTGCATGTTTAATTGGTTTGCACTTGTTCACCATGCCTGTGCTTGCTCTGCCTTCGTTCATCCTGCCCAGAAGTATAACTCAGCTGCCAGGAAAACATGTCAGCAACAGGCTTTTTTTCTGCGCCCCCTTCCGCTCCCCCAGTGTTTCCATGAAGGTGCTGAAAACAAACCCTCAAGTTATTAAAACTTTTTGAGTCCTTGAACAGTGAATTGAAGCTGCATATTTAAGAACAACTATAGAGCTCTTACATAATTCTGTTCAGCTATTCAGTAACTCACATAGTAAATATCTTCTTTTGAACCAACGCTGGAAAACTTACTTTAATATTTCAGGAGTGAATTGCTTTGCCGGGCTTAACAGCTGTTGGAATCTCTGTCTTAATAGTGGCAGCTGTTGTCTTGATGAAAAATCAAACAGTGAAATACTGACCCTTTGAAGTCAGAGCCTCTGACTTGAATAGTCACAGTGTCACCCGTAACTTCAGAGAAAGGATCTTTATCCTGTCAGTCAGCAGTGCTGTGAATAAATCTGACTCTGCTGGTTTTGTATGGTTTTAACTCAAAATTTGCAGGGAAGGCATGAAGGTCAGTTTTTGTTCTGCAGCCTAACCTGCATAACATTACCGATGGTATATATCTTAGAACAATTAGGCTAAGCCAACTGCATTCCACATGCCTGTGGGTATGATGCACACATTAACTTTTGATTTATTTAGAAAATATTCCTGTTAATATGAATTAAGCGTAATGAAAAGATAAAGTTGCTTTGCAGGTCCTTTCTCTGACATCTAGTACATTGAGTCCTCCTCTTGCCTGATGCTTTCAGAAGTTTTAGGAGGAGAAACGCTCATGTCTGCTTTTGATAAATTGTGACTGCAGAGCGTGTGCTTTGAGCTCCATTGCGGCCAATGGACTTGGAACATAGATGATTGAAATTTTTGATCGTTTTAATGTGTTCTTATTTCAAATTGTATATTCTTCAGACCTAGCTTGTGACACGCATTTGATGGGAAGCTCTCAGATTGGCATTTTTCCCTTCAAATGGTGGCGTAAGAAATGTTGTGTCTTGAACATAGAGTTGATGAGGTAGTCTAGATCAAACACTGAATTGCAATCTGAAGCTATTTAAATCCTGCCTTTGTAGCAGCACCGTAGCAGAGCAGCAACTGTCCATAGCCTTCCTATAAACGGTTCCTCTGCTCCACTGGAAACTTCTTGCTAATTTAGTTGAAGAAGGAATTAGATTTGTCTGGCTTCATAGGGAGGGGTGAAACTTGAAGGGAATTTTAAAACTTATTTCAAGACTGATGCCATGAAGTTACGTTGTTCTTCTTTTCAGGAATGTCACCAGAGATGGCTGCTGACACTGCGTTAGACTACATGAAGACTCGAGTTGGGGGCCTGGGGGGTGTCATTGTTGTTAATAGTTCAGGAGAATGGGCAGCAAGGTTCTCCACCAAGCAGATGTCCTGGGCTACTGTAAAGGATGACCAGCTGCATTATGGGATTTATGCTGGGGAAAGGCATACGAAATCTGTTGATGAAGCACTTATATCTGAAAGCGGGTGATTCTGAGAATGAAGAAACTGGCTGAGGAAGAGTAAGATCTCCAGCTTTTGCTGAAGGACAATGACAGTTGATGTAATGTTTCTGAAAGATCTGTACCCTTTTGTTTGATTCACAGCCATTGGCGCATTTACAGTTAGAATTAAATCTGGACATAGTCCTTCAGTGGTCATGGAGATGTGTATAGTGTTTAGTAATACCTTTGGGAAGTCAGGAGATCTGCTTTTCTAGATAAGAAAGAGAATGATCAGTAGGCTTCTTGGTTTGCCTTATTGCACTAAAGGGAGCCTTGAGTTTCAGTATTACAGGAACTTCTTTGCATGCCCATTCTCAATGACTGCTGCCAGGATGATTTGCGAGATTAATGCTTATTAATTAACAACTGAATTTTGAAAATTGCAATGCGCTCCAGAGTCTTTTGAGCAGTCATCCAATGATAACAAGATGATAACGGTCAGTTGAAATACCACCAAAAAGCAGTGAACAGTTAAGACTACGTCATTGTCACAGGCTTGAGGTAAATGTCAGGGGAAATAATAATAAATAATAAGTAGACAGAATAATAATAATACTAATAAGTAAAGAGAATATTTTTTTTCCAGAGATGGGAAATGTGATGCTTTCTAAGGAGTGACCTACTCCATGCTTTGTTCCATGGTTTAACAGCTGTTGCAAATGACAGTGTGGACAGTGATGGTTCAAGAGTATATGGCTCATGCAAAACGTAACCATGTGGTGTACTGTGTTCCACAGGAGATCATGTAGGAAATGGCTACTGCCTGATCATCAGGAGTTCGTGAAACAATGGCAGTATTTAGGATGTGCTTATCTGTAGAGAAGTGGTCTCACTGAGTAAAAATTAACTTGTATCCCCCTCTGAGCACGAAATACCAGTCTTACAGGGCCAGGTTGTTGACTGGCAGAAAAAGGAGTATAGTCTTAGCTTCATCATCAAGAATAACAAGCCACCCAGGTTTTTGTGGTCAAGGATCAGCTTTGTTTACCTCACCTGTCCCTAGTGCAAGATCAAATTCAGGACAGGCAATAGTAAATATGATCTCCACAAGTTCTTCCAAATTTCACTTTGCAGCATTGTTTTCATGGAATGGATTCTTTTTCATTAAAAAAATCATTGAGCAAACTTGAAGGATGCTTTTTGGAGCTAAATGGTGATGCATAGGGGTGGATGTAGGCTGTACACAAAGAAGGAGAATACAAATATCTTGGTTTATGCTTGCTTTATCAGATTAAAGAGTATAGAGGGCACGTTCCTAGTAACTGTTCCTTTGCGTGGAGCAGCTGGAGGGAGGAACATTTAAGCTACTGCGACCGACACCTGGTGTATGGCCTTTGTGGAGCTCTGGTTTTGCTACGTGCCCTCAGTGGATGTGAGCCCGTTCGGTCCCGCTCCAAGGTGAGCAGAACCCCAGTGCTGGTTGGTGCAGCAGCGAGCGTTCAGTAACGTTCCCGATGGGTGGGTTGGCACCAGGCTCACCCAGACAGTTGGCTCGTGGTTAGCTTTGAGCAAGCTCACATCTGCCCAGGAGGTACTGTCGGCCACAGTAGCAGTGCAGATATCATCTCAGGGCTTTCAGAAGGAACAGTAAATGGTTACCGTGCTTAATTCACCTCAGTTGTTCTCCAGGATACCATGTAATAAATTGCTGGCACTTAACATGAGAGCATTATCCTACATAGGTTCCTCTATCGCTTATCACCAGACTAGCTGGGCACCTTCCAGCAGTGCATTAGGCAGCGTGGCTACCATCTGCTCTGTATGACTTGCTCTGTCTCACCCGCTCCTTGGTAGCATGTTCTATGTTCCTTTCTTGGGAAAAAGTACCTGGTTTTTAAAAACACATGTAGTGTTGTGCCTTTCCTGTTCCGGCAGGGCTGGGAATGGGGAGCTGTGCCTCGCACGTGGATTGACCATGTTTGACAGTCCTCAGGCTGGAGTTTGCTCCGGGGTTGGAATGATGGTGGTTCAGGCAAAGCAGCCAGGGCTCCCTCCTTCCCTCCCAGCCTGTGGGCCCAGCCCACGCTCCACAGAAACCTGTGTGGTTCCCCCGCCCCGCACTCTGCTGGGACAGTGCTCCCTTTCGCATAAGGGGGGGTGATAGCAAGTGGTGGGGGGGGGCAGACCCAACTTGGAGAGAAGCTGGAGAACTGAGGATGAAACGGTTGTTTTCCTCCCTCTCTCTTTGCCCTTTCTGCTGGAACAGGATGGGACTTCTGATGATATGAGAAGTAGTGCTATGCAACACCAGCAACCTAATGTTTTCATGTGCTTACATGTCCCCTGACCTTTCTGAATACTGAGGAACTACCCTTTATGAGGACTTTAAGGTTTACCAGCTTTTATAAGAGTAGTTGAAAGAGGCTGAACTCCAGGGAGATCCCAGAGGCAGGACAGGCAGTTGTGTGCCACAGCCGTGACTGGCCGGAAATGAACTTCTCCAAATGGCGCTGACCTGGATATCAAAGAAGGAAATTAGAGGTCTCTTGCCAAGAAACTGAGTGTCCTTGGCACGTAGCAAAGCAGCAAGAGAGTTTTAATTATGTAATTAACGTGTAGCATCCCGTTATTTTCTATCATTTAGAAAGCCAGTGGTGGCTGCTGCCGGTTCCCTCCCGCCCCGTGGAGGGGCCCGTGGCCCGCGCTGGGCACCCACTGGGGCAGCAGCTTCGCTCGTGTACCCGTAGTTCTGTGTGGGTTTCCCTTCTTAATCTTTGCAAGTTACAAGTAATTAAAAGTTGTTCCATGGGACATCAGTGTTTGGAAATTTGGGGTTATTTTTTTTCAGTGTTGTGCTTTGTGCTGCGGTTTAGCTCCGTGTCTCTGGGGTGCTTGTCACTCACTTTGAGATCTGGCCTGGCAAAGTTTAATGGCATTTGCTGTTTCGCTTCTTTCTCTTCTGGTCTGCTTTTCCTTTGATATGCTCTGATAAATATTTGCTGTGGGAGAGATTTCCACCGTGGTTGCGTCAGTACAAATGAAGAGCAGAGTCGCTGCGCTCCGTGATTCCCCTCCAGGAGGTGACACAGGTGGGCTCTGCCAGGAGGAGAACAGCCTCTGCTGGGAGGGAGAGCCTGCGGCCGGGGGTGGCTGGGCCAGGCTGGGCTCTGGGCTCCAGCAGTGTCAGGGTGAAGACGGTGCCCGGGGAAATGGTGAAATAAAGAAGCATCAAATGGTTCACATAAAAGAATACTGAGGTCGCACAGACTGGGGGAGCAGAGAGTCACTGTGGTTTAGAGGTGTAAACCACAAAGGAGGGGAATCTCATTTTCCTTTCTGTGCAGTCCTTAACGCTCGGTTTGCTGGGGGCATGTAGCTACCCCACAACCTTTGTGCAATTGAGTTTGCCAGATCTGGTCACATGTGCTTTAACTTCAATTATTTCTAACGTTCTGTCCTTTTGACCTTTAAAATTCTCCTTGGTTGGAGTGAGACTTGTTTGCTTGCGGCTCCTCCCCGAGTCCTTTTCTGGGGTTACGATGCCACCTGCACGGGCTTTAGCTCCAGCCCTGCACTTCTGCCCCTTTACTGCTAGGGCTTTCCTCCACCTTGAGCCGTGTCGATGTGTGGTAGCACGGAGCTTATGAAATGCTGTGCTGCGTCCGGGCTGCCCGGCTCTGCCCGGCGCTCGGCAGCACGGCAGGCTGCCTGCTGAGCAACCCGGCTGCCCGACAGCATCGCCCCCTCACCTCTGCCTCCCCACCAAGAATAGTGCCTGTTTCCAGCTTTGTCTAGGTTTGGGTGTAGCTGCCACTTGCCTGCCGCAGCCTGTGCTAACAACTGTATTACGGCAGCACCGCGAGGGCTGACTAATAGGGGAGACAAAGCCCAGGGCTGTTAGAGGTGCTGGGCTCATTTCTGCAGGTAATAATGACTGTAAAAAACACGTACCAATAAATATGGACCCTATTGTTTTAACACTTGCTTTTCCTTGGCAGTTTCAAATTGTCCACTCATAAGCGGTTTCTAGAATAGTTCACAAACTGCTTCTCTTTTGGGCTGGAAAAGTGCAGGATTTGCTGGTCTGTGGCAACTCTCATCCTCTGTACGTGGAACTTTTTTCCTGCATGGAAGGGAGATACAGCCAGGATTTCTCTCCTTTCCTATATCGCAGAAGATAATTTGTCATGTTGTTGGTTGGGTGGGGTTTTTATTGGTTTGGTTTGGTTTTTCTATTTTGATTTAAAAAAAAAAAAGCTGGAAAAGGTTATTGTAGCTTCATTCAGGTGTTTTTACCTACCTTTTGTCTCACCTCAGGTAACCCTTCTGAGATCCTTGGGAATGAGTGCAGCTCAGCTGAGCCTCTAGTAAGATAATCACTCAAAAACGAGGCTATTAGGGAAAATGACTGGAATGTGAAACCCAGCACGTTTTCAAGTATTCTAAGCATTAAGGAATCACAATTACTGCCTAGTCTTACTTCCTAAATAAACAGGCCATAGGTCCTTCTCTCTGATTCTGCATTAAGCAAATTACTTCTGTTGAAGTCTGGTCAGTTCCTGCCACAGACAGAATGAGAATGAAGATGCTCTTTGAGAGAAAAAAACGGAACCATTTTTTAGATAATTCTGTTTTAACACATTTAAGAGAAAAGAAAGAGGAAGGAAAAAAAGAAGGTATGATGGTGGCAGATGCCCCGGTGGCTTCTGTGCTGGAAGTCTCCATGGGGCGAGGGCGGCTGCTAGCAAATAGACTTGCCATTTCAGATCTGAAGATGCATGGCGTGTATTTTCCTGGAGACAAACCTCCAGAAGTCCTGCATGTAGCGGTAATATTTATACAATTCAGGTCTTCAGAGAAGCACACAGAAGCTGTGAACTGATCTGCACCACTCTTCAGTGGAGTTTATTATATTTGAACTGGTTTATCTCCAGTGAGCATGCAGGGAGATTAAACGCTACTCTGGAGCCACAAAACACATCTGAGGCAGGGCCAAGTTTAGAATATTGATTTCTGGCCTCCGCAGTCCCAGACTCCGTTCACTACATTATGTTGTTTTTACAGGTAGCGTTTAGACAAATAGATCTTGACATATCAAAAGCTCAGTAGCCTCTCAGTAAATTGAGCAGGGCTTTAGCTGTTCGATTCCTGTGATTTGTGCGTGCCTCACGCTCGGTCCTGGTGATCTCAGTAGCTCGTGTGTGTTTGCAGTGAAACCCACTTGTATCCTGAAGCAGACTGGACTGTGTTTTTCTCTTAGACTAGAAATAAGCCTAATTATGATACGTGTTTTTTCTTGTCAGATTTAGATCTGCAAATACCTTACTTTAAAGAAATTCTGCTTCAGTCCTCTTTGAAAAAAACCCCGAAACACATTGGTGGAGATTCTCAGTCCGAACCAATGGCAGCTGGTCACTTGCTCTGATTTCTTGTTTGAGTATGAAATGAGAAAAATGGGAACCCCCAGAGCCACTTTTCCACCTTTCTGAACTCCAGGTCTCTCATCTGCAGCCAACAAAGGACCCTGCTCACCCTGGCCGAGCCTGCGTGAAGTCTGGCAGCCCTACAGACTGCACTGGCGTCTCAAACACGGCCAGTTATCTAACAGCCTTCTCCACCCTTCTTTGTTACTCGATGCACGATGTCATTTGTCAGAGCGCCAATACTGGAGACATGCTGAATATGTGAATACCAAGGAAGTGGTTTCCTTAGCAATAACAGGCATGTGAAAGTCAAAACTTCCTTTCCTCCTCATGTGACCTTTTTCAAAGCAATTCAGCCCCTGGGACAATAGGAGTGAATTCCAGGCACCCGCAGTGTTCCTGCGCTGCCGGGCAAGGATCTGCCAAACGGCCAACTTATCTTACCTTTTTGTTAAGGTAACATTCATTTCTCCTTAGATGTTCCCCACTAGGGATTTGGTGTGTTTATGTGCACGGCATAGTGTTTCCTGAAAGCAAAATGACCTAACACCATAGAAACAAATACACAGAAGGTAAGTCGTTTTCTTGCCATTGGGGAACAAAACTTTTTTAATGCATAAAATCCAAAGCCCTCTCTGTTAAGAGGAAATAGGGGCGTGAAAACTCTTACCAGCGTGTTTTAATGGCTGGGCCTCCCTCATAGCATTTTGCCTATTTCATATAAGGTGAAAATCACTCCTTATGAGAATTCCTAAGGAAATAAAAAGAGAGAGAGGGAGATGATTTACAAAGGCAAACAAGTGGAAGATGACATTCATCTCGCCCATCCCGCACAGAAGTGCAGGATCAGTCTTCTGTTGCTGTTTTTACCCCAAATATTTGGTACAGCCTTTCCTCATCCGTAAGGAGACAGCAGCGATACCCTGAAGTACTTACACAAAGCTGCCTGTCCAAGAATCCTGAAGTATTTTCTAAAAGCAGCCACTAAATTTAAACCTGAGCTTCCTATTGAGTTAGGGAACTATTCTCCCCATTTTTCCAGCTGGGGAGGTGATACAGCAGGTAGTTGTGAAAAGGGCAGAGAAAATGCTGGAATGCTGGAAATGGTAATTTCAGCATCCTTTCTGTACCGCGGCGTGTGAGAGACAGGTTTGGCTTTCAGGAGCTCAGGGAAGGCTCTGGTGCTGGAGTTCTCCCCAGCTCCGGTGTTTCTGGGCTGCCCGCACACAGCCCCCCTCTCGCTGCCCTCCTGCCCACCCGCAAGGCCTGCGTTCAAGTCCCTGGTAATTAGCAGAGAAGGGATTCTCCAGTTCTCAGGGATCGCTGCCTATCATCTTGGTTTTTGTCACACATCTGTGGTTTGCTTGGCTTTTTTTTTTCCCCTTGATTTCAGCATTTTAAACTCTAGAGGACCAGAAGTTTTCAGAAGTGGACTGTGCAATGTGGATAGCCAAGTCTGGAGCTGGTTCCACCAGGCAGGAGAATAAATTTGACAGGAGCCGGTTCCTCTGCAGCTTTCTGTGAATCTGGGGAAGGGATGTACCATGGATTTGGAGTCTTAATGTCTGGAGGAAAATAGGCAAGCCATCTGCTCCCACAGGCGCCGGCACATCGGTGCTTTGTGCCAGTTACACCAAGGCAAACCTTACTGTCTGGCCAAGCGTTCATGTCCAAGAGTGTGTAAGCACCTGCGGGGAGTTGCTGTATGAGATCCCACTCCGCTCTTGGCAAAATGTCACACCAAGCCTGTTCACATTTAGTGCCAGGAGCTATGCAAACACTGTGCAGTGTTCCTGTGGTTTCTGACGGTGGACTATCGCTTGGCTAAGAATTTCAGAGTTTGCCGTGTTATCAGGCACTTCCCGAGGATCAGATGCTGCAGGGAATCTCTTAACCTGGAGGAGCAGCCCTGAGAGGTGTCCCTGCTCAAGGGGGTTCCTGGCATGCAGCTGCTGCTCCACGGGAGAGTTCCAGTGACTCTGGGGCTGTTCTGGGGGGTGAGATGATTGACACATTTGCATATTGGCCATAGTACCAGTATTGTGGTTAGGTGGGTGCATTGCGCAACTTAGCCCTCGGCTGTTGTGTTGTTATCTGTCTCCCTGAAAGCACCTTTGAGCCCCGGATGCCGCCATCACGAGTAGATGCCCCCACTACGACCACCACGCGTGGTTATCACTTGGGCAGAGTTACAGGAGACGAAGCTCAGGGTGGTGCCCAGGGGGTGGTGGGCCCACCGTCACGCAGCTCTGGCTGACACCTCAGCTCCCTCAGACACCACCGGCCTCCACCATCTGGGCGTCTTGGCGTCGGCACACAAGGTGTTCGAACGCATCTCAAAGGCCGGGGGTCTGCAGCAGGCTGGCCGTGGGGAGAGCGCAGGGCACCGACCACCCCAGACTCCAGGACGAAGCACAGACTGGTGCAAAAAACACAAGAGCAGCAAAAAAAAATAAAAAAAAAAAAAGCGAGAGATGAGAGAGGACTCTGCCTGGGGCTTGGAGTCTCAGAGGAGCAGAGATGGCAAGGGAGACTGGCACCAAGCTGCCTGCGTCTGGCTACAGCATTAACTGCTGGGGATCTGGGAATCGTTTTCCTGTCAAGGACTAATTTGAACATACAGGCTCAGCACATTATAATTACCCAGCACAGAGCAGGCTACAAGATGTGTGTCGTGCTGTGGGACCAGGCACTATTTCCAGCCATCCCACAGAAATGTCAATAGGATGATACTCTTGACTACATGTTGCTAATTAATAGTTTTTTTCATCCTGATGTCCTTTGTTCATGTTAAGACAGGTTTTATTTCTCTTTATGTGTCATTTAGCTCAATAAATCTATTTGAAAAATTAGTTGACAATTGCTTAAGAACAGATTATTTCCAAGTACGTGTTCCTTTGGAGAAAATCTGGCTAAATACCTTATGACCTGTTCCTTCATCGGAGAGAGAATACAGTCAGGCCATATCAGATACTCCTGCGTACCCCAGTTAGTTTTTCCCCCTAGTTCTTCCATGTTTCAGTTTTACAATTGCTCCCACGGGTCATCATAAACCAAGATATAAAGAATATTCAGCATGTTTTGAAAAATAACAAGCTGTATCCTTCACAGGAAATGTGGGTTGAGGCATACTATGCAAACTTTTTTCATGTCCTTTAATCTCACTTAACAGGGACATAGTTCAGCCACGCTGGCTTCTTCAGAGCGTGCGCTGATAGGATTTAATTAATAAATCAGATTCTGCGACTGCTAGAAAATGTTCAACAGCAAAGTCATTTCGACTGAGCTGCTTTTCAACATATTATCCTTCGGCTGAAAGATCCCCCAATGAATCCAATATTTGTCTCAAGCGCTGAGGAGAGCAATGACCTGCTATAAACGGCACTGCCGGGCAGTCAGAGCTTGTCACTGGCAAGCTATTGCCACAGCAGCTCATTCCCAACCTCGCTGAATAAACACAGGTATTAAATCATTCAGCTGATGGAAAAAACGCAGATTCCGTTCAAACCCATGTATTATGACATTTCTAGACTTCAATTTTTGAGTAGTGCATTTTAACAAAACTCTGCCTTCTAGGAGATGCTCAGGCAGGGCTACATGCCTTAGTACAGACATTTCCCAGTTATTCCAGCACAACAGTGCTCTCAGTTTCATGCACTTGTGAAACCCGCTGTGAAATGACTATGAAAGTAACAAAACCAAGCAGATTGTTCTGGATCTGGAAGAGCTGCTCTGAGTGAAACCCCCAGTGAAAGAAAACCTTCAGTGACCGAAAATGAGGACGGGATGCAGAGACGAGGATGGGATAAGGACCTGAGGAGGTTGCATCCTTCCTCCCAGCACAAATGCACAACCTTGCCTCTTCACAGTGGATTTCTAGGCCCTTTAGTGTCTGAAAGCCACCAGGTATCTACCTCGCTGACTAAATAAAAAAAACCACCTCTGCAGAAAAAACAACAGTGTGCTCCAGAACTTTTCTGATTATTAACTTGAAAACACACATTTGCCCACAAAGCATATTTTCTGCTGTGGACAGCTGAAGTACACACAGAAATTTGCTATCTCGCTATTGCAACTACTGGGACCTGAAAAACAGGTTCATTACCAGTTCTGCTGTATAGTGGGAGGATATGGATCTTGTGTCTTTGGTTTCACTTGTTCTTGGTGTTCGCCACTTGATCAGGCAGAACTGTTCCTGTTTCTGGTTCATTCGTCCTTTGCTCCGGTCTGTCTCAGTGTTTGGGAAGAGCACCTGCCTCTCCAGCACCATTCTGCACCAGCAGATCTCCAAGAACTTTACACAAATGAAATCAAAGGAAGGGATGAGGCCGACTGGGGGCAGCTGGCAGGGGCGGGCGGGTCGGGGAGCGCTGTGGATCGATGGGTGATGCTCGAGAGGAGCAGGAGGAAGCGCTGTCACGTGAAAAATGGTATCCAAGCTCCCTAAATCCTCTGTGGCTGCTGCCGCCACTGAAACCCCAGGAGCAGACCTGCCCTTGTGCTGCTCCACCTGCAGAGAAGCGGCTACTGCTACAAGCAAACACACGCTGCTTCAAGGAGCTGCGGTTTCTATGGGGAACCTAAAGGTTTCAGCCCTGATGTGCCAAAGTCATACAAGTATCACATGATGCTTTCGGATTTTTCTCCTCTAATTTTCAAAGAAAATGACTTGTAAAAGCTACACTAAAAGAAAGCCATAAAATCAAGCACGCATGTATTAAGAAATGTAAGAATTACAGTTACAGTCTTTAATCCAATGCTTTTTTGTCCCTGCATGATACAACCTTTAATTATATTCCACCAGCTAAACTGTAAGCTAAATGCTACTACTTATTTTCACTGGTAATTTACTATAGAAAATAATACACTAAACATGAATGACTTGTTCAGTGATTTAATATTACCAAGGCAATGACACGATAAAATATTGGATGTTACTTGTTCACTCTTCAGACTGTACTTACTGTACAAATGTTTTAGTGAACAGCACAGAAAACCTGGAGCTTGAAAGTATCTTTTGGCAAAAAATCCTACTTGTAGTCAATGTGAAAAGTTATCTCAGAAAAAAGCAGAGGATGGGCACTAACTACTTCGCTTTCTCATCCCAGACAGCCAGAGGAAGAGAAGCTTTACCAACCTCATGTGATAAGTGTGAAGTGAGCAGCTTGTATTGCAAAACTGAATTGTTAGTTCGTGCTGTTTGATGGCACCTCCCCAACGTACACAAGGCCCTGATCCCTAAAAGCTCATGCTCAGTGCATCTGTTACTTACACACATTTACCCTCACAAGACTGCCCAAAAATAAGTACATCCCAGTTCTCGCAATTCAGTATTTCATGTTCTCCCCTCTTTTGTTCCTCTATTCACCTCTACCCCAAATTTTAACTTGCTAGTAAATTATATCTTTAATATTTTCTGGTCTATTCCTGGTAGAAGGTGCAAAGAGCTACAGACATTTACTGTTCTCTTAAAATATTACAAATAGAACTTGTTGTAAATGTAAATAAATATGTAACATCTTGTATCGGGCAAACTGCTGTCTGTGTCTTCAAAAACACTTATTAGAAATACTTTTAGTCATAACCTAATTGCTTGCCTCTGAACACTAGAGTTTTTTGCTTTTTACTAATACCAAGTGGTACTAACTAAATTGTCCTATTGCCTTTAGCAAGACAACTTAAGGAGAAAATTCCTCTGATACCAGAATGGCAAAACTGAGCCCTTCGTTCTTTAAACAATGATTCAAAGTCACATTGCCCTTATTGTTGGCCTTCAGCACCGAATATTTTCCTCATGCCTGGCTTCACTTTGACTTCATGGCTAAAGTTTCAGCTGATGATGCTATCAGGCAATAGCGGAACGGAGTTCAAAACAACTACTGGAAAAATCCCTACCCTCTTCCAAAGCTGCCAGGTTAGGAGAAAAGAAGAGTTGTAATACCTGCTGTGAAGCAGACACAAGCAGCAAAGCCATCAGGCCTGTATCTGTACATGGATTTACTCACTACTCATATAAGGTTTGGTTGTTTCAAGTATAACTTGCAAATTATTTGATAACATGGCCTGAAAAAAAAGACAGAGCTATTGCATCTGTGATTCTATGATCTTTTGGGAGTTGGCTGTGATCTTTTGGCTTTTAAAAAAATTTTTTCAGTCACAGCACTACTCTGGAATGAACTGTTGCACTTGCACTGTCCAATGAAGCTCACCAGAGACAGCAAACATGCCGTCATGGTCAATACATCATATCTAGCCATTTTGCTAGGGAACTCAGGTCTTTGTTGTTCGCATATATTTTGTTTACTGTGCTGTACAGAGTTAAACCATGGTATTAATAATTATGGAGAGAAAAGAGGGTAACTGGTAATCCTGGGGATATTATGGGCATCCCTGTGAGGCACTAAATTAAACTGTATCGGTCAATGGGAATGTTTTGCTATAGTTGAGATGTGAAGTCTAAAAGTCATAGAATCACAGAATGGTTTGGGTTGGAAGGGACCTTTGAAGCCCATCCAGTGCCACCCCCTGCCCTGGGCAGGGACACCTCCCACCAGACCAAGTTGCTCCAAGCCCCTTCCAACCTGGCCTTGAACCCCTCCAGGGATGGGGCAGCCACAGCTTCTCTGGGCAACCTGGGCCAGGCTCTCACCACCCTCACACCAAAGAAGTTCTTCCCCACATCTCATCTCAACCTCCCCTCTTTCAGTTTAAAACCATTACCCCTGGTCCTATCAGTCAATTTTGATTAAATTGTAAAATAGTATTTTCTAAGCTGAGTTAATTTTACTTTGAAGTCCAGAGCAGCAAAAATGCAAGACCATGTTCCTGTTCCTCTGATCATCTTTTCTGAAGGTTGAACACTACGTTCCACTCCCCAGCTGTAACTCCCTGTAGTACCGCATCGAGTATCTGCTGCCGGCCTTTCTACCGGCCAGGTCACTTCACAAAGCTGTTTGCTGTGTCCCAGCGCTGAAGCCAATAGTGGGAGGCAAATCTAACCCCTCTTGACCAAGTCTTATATATTCACATTACACCTCCTGCAGATGAGAAACAACCATTTAAATGAAGAAGAAAAGCAATTTTGGATCAGGGTATTTTTCTGAGTTATACTCTCAATCAGAAACGAAGTGGCAGAACTGCCCAATCTTTGTCTTGTGCTAGACCTTATAAACCCAAGAGCTGTACTGAAAGTTGGACTACGCAGACAGTCATTTTGTACCACTGAAATGTGGTGTTTGGAGGAGTGCCTAATCTTGTAACTTTTTTAGGACAAACATTTTTGGAGTAAGAAAAATGGTGTAATATTCATTTCACCCAAAAAACTCAGACTATGTAGGCCATGCTACTCAGAAATGGAACATCAGCCAGAACACGTTGCTTGTTTGTGGCTGAAAACAGCCAGAGAAGAGGCAGCGACAAGCAGTCACAGCTGAAAGGGAAGGGCAGAAAATGCCACCCAAAGAAACTTGAGGACTCTTTCTGGGAGAAAAAAAGACTGAAGGAAAGCTAGGAGTACTGACTAGATATTGAAGAAGGTATGTTCTTCTACCTTTGGAAGCAGAACTTTGTCAGGGCCATTGCCAATTCCACCCTTGACTTGGTTTTCTGGTGGAAATAATCTGTGAGGTCATGAGTATTGGCTCAAAAGGGTTTTGAGCCACATTTCTTGAGTTCGGATCAGAAGAGGCAAGAATATATCACTGGGTTTGCCCTTAATGTTGCAATGCATTTGTCCTTCATTACAAACTAAAATAAAATGACTGTGCTTTTTCTTTCTCCTAGCCTCCCACACAGCAGCTCTGCTGCGAATCAGATGCCATGTAGGGTAGGTACCTCTTCTTTCCAAATG